CTCGAACTCGAGAGGGAGAGGGGGGGTGGGATCGGGAGGGGGAGAGAGTGCTGGAAAGCGAGGGAAGGAGACAAAGGGAGGGAGGGAGGCAGAGGAAGGGAAGCGAGAGAGAAAGGCGAAGCAGACAGAGGAAGAGAGATGAGCGAATTCCAGCACACAGCAGCGTATTGTTCCTGACGGGAACACACTGCAGGGCTTCGGGGAGGAAAAGCATGAAGTGCACGGACTGTACAGGTCAATCAGGACAGCACGGCGCACGCCACTCCTCCACACCGGGGGGACGAGCGCATCCTGTGACCTGTGCTGGCTCCCGCCTAACTGGATAATTACTGAGCCTGGGGCAGATTTAATTAACCACTTAATATACAGCACGGGGCCGGAGAGAGAGGCAGGGAGAGATGTTAACTGTTAATGCATCTGCGTGGGTTTTTCAAGCCACTGAAGTGCTTCAGCAGCACCGGGCCTCTGGGCCTCCGTCACGACAGCGAAACAAAGGAAGAACACGATCTTCCACAGGCAAGCTCGTCTTTAGGGTGCGTCTTTAGGGTGCGAAACATCGGGTCGCCCCGAAACGCCACACCGCGACACGCCGTGGGCTTTCCCTACTCTGGCCAGCGCGTTCTCTCGTGCGGGAACTTCAGTCTGGCCAGAAACACACTTGCAGGATCTGTTTGAGGACATGAAGCAACAAGAACAAGCGGTCTAAAAGAACAGGCTACCAGCTGGACCAGATACTTTTACAGCCCGGTCCTGCCACGGCCAGCAGGCTGAACTTTAACCCTGAAAGGCAGCAGACGCCTGCTCCACCCGGAGTTCCACAGAAACGCCCCGGGGCTCCACGGAAACTGGCCAGACAAGGTATCCGACCAGCCCTGGGCACTTCCCCATGATCACACAGCCCACAGTCCGCAGTCCAGCGGGCTCAGACCCCTGACAGGTGCCCACCTGGCCAGCTGGCACAGAAGCCTCTGTGAGCTGAGCAGCCGTGACGTCCAGCTGAAACAGCGGGCACACACCTCACGAGCTGGACCGGTCCAGAACCCCGCCCAGAGGTGCGAGCTGGACCGGTCCAGAACAGGGTGCTGCCGAGGTACAGGCTCTGTGAACCAGGCTGGGAGGTGGACACAGGCTGGCCAGGACTCCCAGAGACCCCTGCCCAGGACAGACACACAGCTGCACACACCAGCCCAAGCACATCCACTTCCATGCCCTAGAGACAGGTTCTGCCAGCAGAACTGCGCTGAGATGTCTACCTTGTCCTGATAATGCCGGTGTTCAAGGATCTCACTGGTCTCTGGTTCGTCTGCTCACCCCCTGTGCACTGACAGATCACAGCTGCAGGCCAGTGCCTTCAGTCCTGTCCACTCAGTCC